ATGAATGATAAAATTATATTTATCAATATTAATACTTCCTTTATTCCATTATTAGTGTAACATTCACGGTCATGTATAGTATCATAATAATAATAATAATAATAATAATAGTAATAGTAATAGTAATAGTAATAATAATAATAATAATAATAATAATAATAATAATAATAATAATAATAATAATAATAATAATAATAATAATAATAATAATAATAATATGGTTATTGTGTGATACTGCATATGACATTGACAATAACAAATACAATAATGATGATAATAATAACAAATGATGAAAACAAAATTGAGGATGACAATAATGATAACAATAATGATGATAATAATGATTACAATAATGCTAATAAATAGCAACTATAATAATGCTAATAATAATAATCATAGTGCTAATAATATTGCTATAGTAAATTTAATCATAGTAATTTAAATAATAATGATTATCATTATCACACTAATAATTATGATAATTCAACACAAATACAACAATAATATTGATAATAATGGAGCATATTAAGATTATCAAAGATTAGTAATATGATGCCCGCGCGTATTTGTCATTTAATATTTTTGTTACGCTACACAATTTGCCAACAAGTCCGCAGTCACTGGGAATATGATGAAAGGCATTACAGTTGCATCAAGTCAACCTAAAGATTGTACCACCTTGTACACCGGTTACTAACGTTCACTAAACGTATCATGCGGACGGAGGGAAAACATACGTAATAATCCGATAATGATGATTATTGTTACCACTATTACTCCTAGTATCACCATTACATCATAATCGTTATCACTATCAATACATTATTCCTACTACTACCTCTATCAATACAATCGTACAATATGCCATAATCTCTAACACCGTTGAAGGTCTTTCCTAACATTTTTAATGCGAAATAAATTCCTCTTCATATCATCGATGTGTTCCGTACATATGGAAGACTCCAGCAGTAAGTCTTGGATAATGCTGAATGAAACTACCGCTGTCTTTCTCTCAAGTTTCCGTTGCATCGTTTTAAACCAACGCGCACTCAAGTGAAATATATCCTACACATTGCATAATATTGGTGATCTATGTAGTCCGCTTTCAGTTATCTCATCATGAATAAAACAAGGAATGGTAAAAATAATTAATCGGTGTAAGAACTATACTATTACTTATAATAACATGCTTACAATAAGAATTATATAATAATGTTAATTACACCAACAACACGAAAACAACAAAAACAAGAACAAGAATAATAATAGTAAAAATAATAATAGTAAAAATAATAATAGTAATAATGATGATAATAAAAATGACAATATCATTAATGATAATAATAGTAAAAATAATAATAACAATACTAAAAAGTGAGAAATAGAAGAAAAGAGGAGGAAGTACTGAGTGAGACTAACTGTGAGGTCTTGGTGATAATGCTTCGCAGATGTTCACAGAGAATGGCATATTTTGCAGACTTAATACTGTGCACGAAATGAGGTATACTGACCATAACTTGACATGCACGTAGAAGTTTAGTGAAGAAGGGGCGAGGATAGACCAGGGCATGGGGAGGTGGAAAGGAGATGGTAATGCGCTAGAACGTTTGTTGGAAATGCCTTGAATACTACCACGCTCAATATACAATGCGGCCACGCCAACCATAAAAAAATCACTTTGTAAAATGTTACATATTCGTCTCACAGTTTCTGTGTATTTGAATATGTGATCATCCCAATTGCTAAATTACCTTACAAAATAGCTAGGAGACTGATATAATCAAATTTTGTTCTGCCAGAAATATGTTTTGTGGTCAGGCTGGTAGAGAGAGAAGCTGAAAATCTTGTTTTGTCTCACTCAATGTTCACAGCCTTTGCTTGTATATCATAAATGAGTCACCGACATATGACACACTGCTATACAAATTATTTTAGCCTTTTATCATTCTGAGAAATATGTAATTGGCAATAATTGTATCGTTATTTATATTAAAATCATCTACAAGTATTTAAAAGTCGCAGGACACAGTTACTGCATTAGTACATACTGAAACTGGTCATATCCATGTGCTTATCTTAAAAAAGGCCATATAGTAGTATAATATAATTTAACGTAAATATAATAACGGTCCTTGGCAACCCTGCACAATACAATGTTGCCAGGTGCATAGAACACAAAAGAGTTTACTGTTACAAGACACTGGCCTTGGAATTGAGCTTTCATATATAATTTTTTCCACTAAGACAAAACATGAAATGTTCGGAAAATAACAAATATACAACGTATGTGTGTGTGTGTTTATTGTATCTTTACACCGCTTTATGGCAGTATCTTTCAGTGAAAGCAGCAGTATAATTTCAAAAGCAACTGAAAAAAAAACTGATATAATTTGTGCTCACTTACGAAAACGCCGTCTTCCCTCTCAACGTAGGAAGATGGGGCCAATGAAATGTCCAGCTGTTACTCAATAACATAATCATTAACCCAATGCTGCCATGCTGTCATGTGTAGTTTTCTCTAGTGAATTTCGTTTGCACACAGATGGCTCCACTTCCTTTTTCCTTGAGTTTTCGTTTTTTCATTCTAATGTGATTGATATTGATGTTATCATGACATTATGACTATTAGAATGTTATTAACAATAATTAACAGAAACTCTCCGAAAGTCAAGGAAAGAGAACTAGTAATTGATTCATTGGCGATTAAGCATATTTGAAGTTGTCTACCACATGTGTAAAAGACAATACTGCTACTACTACTATTACTTCTACTAATAAAAACACTGGACATGGCATCTATTCTTGCCATTCCGTCATGTAGGTTCATTTTTCATTTTGAAATCTGAATAAAAGGGATAGGCCTGGTACGGGTCCACTAAAACTCAAACTCAAAATTATTTTTTTATGCCACAAAATTGAGTGTTATTTTCGGATATTAGATAACACCAACGCAAAAGTATAATAAGGTTCCAAGAAAATGTTCCAATAAAAAAAAAATAAAAAAAATCCTTAGATCATTTTTTTTTTTTTTTTTAAATCCTGCCCAAACTAGTTTTATTCAGTATACACTATCGGGTGAACCAAAACACTGGTATAGATCGATGAGCAATGTGTGTTTGCCAACCAGTCATACTCACGAATCAGTGCGACCTTGACTTGTAGTTTGGGCCATGGCTTTTGTGCATGGCCGGCCTGAGGGACCCCGGCTACGGTCACGTAGTATATAGCTATTTAACGATCAGCTTTTCGTCCCGTCCGCGCCATATTAACCTGTCTACGATACTGCCCTTAACAATGAGTGCATCGCAATGATTATAGGAACAAGTCCACTTCGCAGACTACTTTTTCCTATTTACATCTTAGTCGTAAATGTCGAGGCTGCACTGTATATCGTCTCACAATGTACACTTTGTCAGCAACACTTCATGTGTTAGTGAGTTTTCTTTTAGCTATGGAGAGGAAAAAATCAACAATGGCAAATCAAAACATAAATGTGGCGGCAAATTTAAGCATACTTACACTCGTTTTCCTTTGTATCTATACCTGGGAAAGCAGATACAAGTGGTTAAGAAACGTTTTGAGCAACTATATGTTAAAACTATAGACCTAACTCATTATGTATGTGTATGTGTGGTGTGGGTGTGTGCGTGTGTCTGTATGCTTGCAATAACGAAGTTTGACTTGTTTCTAATCTGTACAAAAAGCTATTATTTATCTTGCTCTGTATACTTATCAAACACTAATCAACTTGAAATGCCTATATTCCTCACCGGAAGTGTACTCGAGAGCAAATTCCTCGTTGGTGTTCCCTGCAACAATCGTGTACATGAGCGGCGCGCCCGAAGAGCTGGCAGCCTCGACCCTCAGCACAGGCGACCCCAGGCGAGCGTCCTCGCGAATGGAGGCCAAGTAGTGGCCTGAAGTGAAGATGGGGCCCTCCGAGGACACCACTCTGCAGAGAGAGAGAGACAGAAGGGAGGTTCAGCAATAGCAAACGATTATGATTATAAAACATAAATAATAATTCCAAATAAAATAATACTGATAAAATGAAAATATTTGTTGTGGCAATATAGCAAAACATTCATCATAGTAATAATGAGACAAAGTTATCATTACTGCAATTGACTATATCAAAAATGGCAGAAACAACAACATTATTCAAACAAAAGCTAAGACTCGCCGTATGAGGACGTGGGCCTGCGAGCTGAGCGGCATTTTCCCGCCGTCGTAGGCCGCGACGGTGAGGCTGTACGTCTTGTCCGCCACCATCAGCGGCTGCTTCAGGGAGATCTCGCCGGTTTTCTTGTTCACTGCAAAGAGTTCGCCGCTGCCCCGCACTAGTTCGTAACGGACGCTGCCAAAGTCACCGGCATCCGCGTCCACTGCCCGTACCTTGGGAACCAGAAATATCTCGAGTGCATTTCAAATGACTCAGACGAACACGAATACGGTGATAAGGATGCCAGGAGTATAAACATATCGGTGATCCTGGCGATGGAGGCGGAAGTAGGATGGAGGAGACAGGGATGGGGCGGGGGCGGGATACGGCTGGATCTGGGTATGGGTGGGTCCGGGATAGGGATGGGGGTCGGGATAGGGCTGGGGTTGGGATAAGGGTGGGATGGGGTTGGGGATGGGTTGAAGATGCGGGTCGCAATAGAGCTAGGATGGGGTTGGAGATGGGATAGGTGCGGAGGCTGGTGTTAGGGATGGAGATGGAGGTAGGAATAAGATTAAGGTGAAGTTGGAGTTAGAAGGGGGGTGAGACGGATTGGAATGGAGATAGGAGCTGGAGTGGGAATGGAATAAGGATGAGGTTAGAGACCGAGCTGCGAGGGGTGGAGATGTGAGAAGGGGTTGGGGGCAACACGGGTTGGGAGGAGTACAGGGTCGGAGTCTGAGATGAGGAGGATGGACATGGGACCAGAGCGGCGTAGGGACGGAGATGCTGGTGGGTAATGGGACTGAGATGGGCATGAGCTTATGGAGAGAGGGCG